AGAAATTCAGCCGCTATTACCTTTTTTTTGACTTCATACTTGTTTTTGTTAATTGCAGATCATGATCAACACTGAGGAACACAATGATTCTAATCCTATCACTAATCCGTATTACTATGCACAAGATGTGGATAAATTTGCACTAAATTATTACAAACGAAAGGAGCAGCTTCACGATTTACCACCAAATAGAATAGCTATTAATGAAGAGCGGCAATCGAAACCAAAGAAATGTTACAGGAAGAGAAACCGTTCTCAAGAATCATCATCATCATCATCATACATTATCCGCCAAGATAAAGATAAACGAGGTCATTGTCTGATTAAAATCAGCATTTGTGAACTTAACGAGCAAGAAGAAAATGTCATCCACGATCTTAGTGCTAATATAAGTGTTCAATATGCTGTGGATTCAACGTATGATGAAGTGTTAGATGCTACAAATTGTCTCATAAAAAAATAGGTGAAAAATTATGTGATAACTAGTAATTTAAGAAATGTAGCTTGTAAAATATAATAAAAGTTATACATTGAATTTTATTGTTGTTTTATTATGTATCATTATTATTCAATTGTGTAGAGGAAAAAAGAAAACACATTTATTGTTACAACGGATGTATTTATTAAAACTAATTATTTCGATTTTCGATTTTATCTGAATTTGAATTTAAATGTTTTAGTTTTTATTTCAATTTTAACTGAAAGCAACAACACATAGATATATTTTATTGGAAATTAAACAATCATTTTGTTTTCAAAACACCATTTCTTAATACATAAAACATTTTTTAACATACATATTTTCTTACGAGTAAAACGGTTATACAGTAAAGTATATGTAAAGATTACAATAAAGTTCACAAAAAGTATTTAAATTGGGAGCTCCTAAGCAACTTATATCTATGATAGTATTATTTTCATCACGAATATCTTGCACCCATGTAATTTTTTTACATCCTTTTAAAAAAATAATTTTATCTTTCAAATATGTCTTTATAATTCTGTGAAACTCTCTACAATCAATAAAGCCCTCACTCCATCGATACCCTCGGTGCTTTTCAATCCAGCCCATTTGTTTTTTCTCTTTAGGAGATAGTGAAGTGAATAGGTAAGGAGGTTTAATTTGGAATATATTGGTGTACTCTATAGTGGCTATAGCCAACTCCTTTACTAAAAAATTATTTTTGCTATTTTTGAAACTTTGAAGATCGACGATTATCGTATTGCTATTCATGATATTTTCTTAACGATATTACTCAGTGGTTTGTATTCAAATATACGGTCGTTTAATATCAAGCAATAAGCGGCTGATATAGTTCAGATTTAGAATTTCTTTATTTTATTATTTTATTTACGGTTTATTATTTCGATTTTCGATTTTATCTGAACTTGAATTTAAATGTTTTTAGTTTTATTTCGATTTCAACTGAAAGCAACAACACATAGATAAGTAACACTGATTAAACTATTACACTCAGTTTGTTATAATAAAATATAGTTCAGATTTAGAATTTCTTTATTTTATTATTTTATTTATGGTTTATTATATCGATTTTCAATTTTATCTGAATTTGAATTTAAATGTTTTTAGTTTTTATTTCAATTTTAACTGAAAGCAACAACACATAGAAGTAACACTGATTAAACTATTAAACTAACCCTTAGTTGGATACAAAACTGGACGAACGTTATGATAATCTTCTTTGATGCATGATACCACCTGGTTAACAGCCTTCCACGTTGGGGTTTTCTCACCGACCACTGATTTAAAGTTGATTAGAGAGTGCTGCCAGCGGGTCGGTTGATGGAATAGCCTCCAGCTCGCGGAAGTTAGAGATGCGCACTTCGATGTAATATTCTCCTCGCTTCGAAGGCTCGCTCCGGTGCATATATTCCCGAACCTGTTCGGAATGATAAGTAGCTTTTTAAAATCCTCGCTCAGATAGGTTCAGAATCTTGATCCTGGAAACAATAAAAATACTATTTAAACAAAAGCATACTGTTAAGCAATGAACAATATTTATATTCCCTCCTACCCCGCATAAATATATTTTTATACGATGCTCATAACATGACTTAGTAGTCCAATTCACTAACAATTGTATCAATCACATCGATCGTCTAAGAATATAATTAAATACGTTTTCATAAAAAAAATTAACCTATGACTGATAATTTATTCACAACATCCAATCAAATAGAAACTGACTTTTCATAATGTGAATGATAACTCAAACTATTAAAATTAAATAAGATTTGCTTACCTCAGAATCTGGAAAAACTTTTAATTTACGTTTCCTGCTGGTCGAAGCTGGGGTGAGTGATGATGATTTATCAGCCTCAGATTCCGACTCGCTTTCTACACTAACTAGGGAGACTAAGTGTTACGTACATACTTGCTGTCTTGATGATGATGATGCTGAACACTTCCAGGTCTAGTAGAATGTGGAAAACACGATGCAACTAATGGTTAAACACCTCACAACATTATATTTTATACCCTACATTATAGCTCTATCCCCACTTGGAAGTGTTTTAGTTTGACATATTATAAAATGATGAAATATTTCATTTGTTAACTTTAGCATTGACCCGTATTAATGTTATTTGTAAGGAATATTTTTACTTATTAACATTAAATGCTCATATGTGAAAAACACTTAACATAAATGTTTGCATGCGATGTCAAATCAACGTTGCGTTGTCAGCCGAAAACACCATTGGCGCCAGCCCGACGCTGTAATAGGATATGACAGTGTGTTACAGGTAAACGTATGATTTCACAATAATATGGAAATGGGTCAGCATATAGCGGTCAATGTACATATTAAATTTAGATCCATTATAAATATATCTTTATTTAAAATTAATGCTTTTTGAAGAAAAAAAACTTACAATTTTCAATCTTAAACTGAATTTTATACTTTTCGTAATATCCCTAGATAGAATATAATCTGGAATAACACCCAGGCGTTTGTTGTAAAAGCGTATATATTGCCTACCCATAAATTAATTACTAATTCTATAAAGTCTAAAAACCGGTATTACAAGCTTATGTTTGTTCCTAGTGTTTAAAATGAACATATTTTTTTTCTTATGAAAGCTATTTATGTTTTTATGTACATACATTACATTTTCAGAAATATATTTCGATGCTAAGTTAATACGTTTATTTCCTTAAAATTTGTCTCTAAGGGACTCTTTACAATTAAAGTTATAAATCATCCGTATGCCTATCTTTTGCAAACAAATATGACTTCAATGTCAGTCGCATTATCCCATAGTAAGATTCCATAAGACATTACGCTATGAAAGTAACTACATGCTTATCTTATTAATTACGTTTGTACGTGGTAGAACCATGCTGCAGCTATACTAATAGTATAGTTGTAAAACGAATGGGTCGGCTCGACCGGTAAAGGACCATGCTCTCATAGAATACCAGCGTAAAATAGCAACTTAATGCTGCTGTGTTTCGTATGGTGAGTGTAAAGAACCGGAGACCCATTTTACTGGAAAAGAGGCATTCCATCTTATTCCTCACGGGTGACAACTCATCTGCAATTTGATTCGCTACGAAGATAGATGTAGATGTCTATGGGCCACAACAACCACTTACCATCAGGAAGACTGCGCGCTCGTTTGTCATCCTTATTCTATAAAAAAAATGTTTGACTACTCAGCAGAAACTAATTGCTTTGTGACATAGCAGCTATTTCACAAAGCATGTTGTGTATGTTAATTAGGTAATTATGAATGTATCAAACTTCATTCTGTAACAGCCTTTATTTCGTTCACAGTCTTTATTTATAACAATATAATTGAAAGGTTTACTCCACACAGTTGAACACATTTCCCGGAACTTAGACCATGTCATGTCAGACCCTATATGCTCGTCATAAATGTGTCTCAGATTTACGTCATCTTGTTTAAACAATATGATCAGGTTAGCGCACACAGTCCACCTGATGGTAAGTGGTTGCTGCGGCCCATAGACATCTACATCTATCCTCTATTACAAATCAAAATGTAGATGCGTTGTCACCCGTGAGGACTAAGATGAAGCATTCCTCATTTCCAGTAAAAAGGGTCTCCGGTTCTCTACACTTACCATACGAAACACAGCAGCATTAAGCTGCTATTTTACGCTGGTATTCAAAATGTTCTAGGAGTAATGTTCTAGTAGTAATCGATACTCTATCAAAATACGTATGGGAAAGACCATTGAAAACGAAACATAAAAATTGTGTCAAAAATGCGAAAGTTTATTATCCGAATCAAGGCGAAAACCTAAAAATTTACAAACAGGTCTTGGTACAGAGTTTTATAATGATTCTTTTAAGAATTTAATGAAAAATTATAATATAAATCATTATTCCACGTACTCCGTTAAAAAGGCCTCCATTGTAGAACGAGTAATAAGTATTTTAAAAACTCACCTTTACAAAATATTCAGTCTATGCGGACGATATCAATGGTTCAAAAATAATTTAGATTTTGTTGTAAAGCGGTATAATAATACTTTACATCGCATTACAAAATTCAAGCCTATCAACGTTAATGATTCAAATGCGATTTTAGTTATGTCAAACATCAAGAAGTCTCAAATGCCTAATATACGTCAAGGACCGCGTTTCACGCGATTACGTTCGTATAAGCAAATACAAAGGAGATTGATTTTTACAAAGATTATACCCCTAATTGGTCTACAGAAATATTTCGTATCGTTAAAGTCAACCAAACGAATCCTCAAACCTATCAAATAGAAGACAAACACAATCAAAAAATTCTAGGCTCTTTTTACGGTTACGAATTACAAAAAACTAAATTTCCAGACCTTTATCTTATTGAAAAAGTCATTAAAAGAAAAGGAAAGAAGCTTTTAGTAAAATGGTTAGGTTTGAGTGATGAAGAAAATAGTTGGGTGGATAAAAGTGAGTTAGTGGATTAGGTATATAAATAACGTATTATTACTTAATAATATCATTTTATACTTATCCATGAAGGAAAGCAGTGGTATAATTAATAAAGTAATAGACAATTTACCGTTTGAGTTAAATTTACCCGGCTATCAATTTTGCGGCCCCGGCACTAAACTTCAAAAACGGTTACTCAAAGTCGATCGTGGGATAAACAAATTGGATAAAGCATGCATGCTCCATGATATTGCTTACACTAACAAAGATTCAAGCGCTCGACAAAAAGCGGATTTAGAACTTTTGAAAATGGCTAAGAGGAGGTTGAAATCAGAAGATGCTAGGAAAGGAGAAAAAATTGCCTCATGGATAATCAAAAATGCGATGAAAGCGAAAATTCGGGCGGGGAGCGGTATAAAATCATTTAAGAAGGGGATAAAGAGAATACAGTCTCAGTTGAAAAAACTAAAATCCAAAGACAGTCACTCGGCTATAAAATATGCCTATGCAGCCTGCAAAGAAAATATTTAGTAATAAAAACGGAATTAGTTTACCCCGTTGTATTCCTCTTCCAAAGTGTGGAGGATTTTTACCACTTATTCCGATATTTGCAGGATTGTCAACTTTAGAATCATTAGCCGGTGGAGCAGAAGCTGTTAATGATTCAAAAGCAGCACAAAAGAGTCTTCAGGAATCTGAAAGACACAACAGAATGATGGAAGCCGTTGCTCTAGGAAAAGGATTATATATTAAACCTCATAAACAAGGAGCAGGTTTATATCTTAATCCCTCAAAAAACTAATTAAACGGCTACCCAGACGGGCACTCACTAATCTGGACATATTAGAACATGCAAGTGACATTCCATACTTTCGCGGCGTTTTCATGAGAAATAATATACCTTTGAAACCGAGAAAGATAGAATGTGGAATACTGAATTTGGATAGCTACAGAAATCCTGGAACGCATTAAGTAGCCTTTGTGAAGCACAATAAATACTTAGAATATTATGATAGTTTTGGTAATTTAAAGCCCCCGTTAGAATTAGTTAAATATATGCATAACTTACCTATTAACTATAATTATGCACGACATCAAGCGTTTGATGCTACAAACTGTGGACATCTTTGTCTAAAATTTTTAAGGAATTACTGGAAAAAGCATTTATATAGTGTATGAAATAAATAAACGTATCAGTATAAAATGTCTTTCACTGTGTCTATAACTGGGAAAGGAGCCTCTTTATCAACGAACTATTCACCGACAATAGAACTACGAGGAGACTACGAATGTGGTCTTTTGTATTTTTTAACTTTCAATTCTATTCCCAATATAGATGAAAGAAACAATAAATTTTATTATGGTGAAAAAGAAATGATCGCATTTCCTGAAGGGTCTTATGAGCTTCTAAATATTTGTGATTATCTAAAAAATAATATTAAGAACGCTGTACTAAAACCAACTTGTAACAATAATACATTGAAAACAAATATTTTTTTCTCTGAAGATGTGCACTCTAATAGAAGCGAACCACTGGGTAAAATTTTAGACTTTGCTATGGAAACAATAAAAGCAAATATAAGTACTGAATCAAAGTATCCTGTCAGTAATATATCGACAACCATCGTGCGGATTGAATGCGATGTAGTAGTGGTTCATTTGTCGACGGGAAAACAAGCCATATAATTTTTGAATTTGCACCTAATGTACCACCTGGTTATCGAATAATTGAAATACCCAGAAACTTGATTTATTTTCCTGTTAACCAAAGCTCCACAAGTGCTATCAATATAAAGTTATTGAACGCTGAGAATAAAGAGATAAATTTACGAGGTGAAGAAGTACAACTGTATTTATATTTCCGAAAAAAAAAATATGATAAATTTCAATAAATGCCCGTCTACTTCGTGTATCCAGGCCAATTTTAAAAGAATATCCCATAAAAACATACCTCTTCAGCTAAAAAAAAAGCTTACCAAGTCTAACAAAGAATTTCTTAAGCTAGTTGGCTTGATAAAATGAATATTTTAAACTCAACAAACATCATACGATAATAGCATTGAATGTTTTGAGTATCATTCATACAAACCACATGTAACTAGTTTTAACTAGAATGTCGAAATACGTATTCCTATTAATCAACAAGACCTGTACGTACTACCTTCACTCAGTAGTTTATATATCGACGGAAAGGTGGACGTTTATAACAGCACCACAAAAGAAAAGGTATCAAACGTACATTTTGTCAATAATCCCGAGTTATTTCTTTATCAAGACATACGATATGAACTTAATGGAGTAGAAATAGATAAAATTAAGAATGCTGGTGTCACTACTACAGTAAAATCTTATCTATCCTTAAATGAAAATGAATCCAAACGTGCTCGAGTTTGGGGCTGGTCAACTGGCGGAACAAACAATACTAGTGGTGGAGCGTTTTCCGCATCTATATCATTGAACAAGATATTAGGAATTGCAGAAGATTATGAAAAAATTATAATTAATAGTAAACATGAGTTAGTATTATTACGAAGCAATACAAATCTTAATGCGATCAAGTTAAATACAGGTGAAGTTGTAGAAGATATTATAATAAATAAAATAGTTTAGCGAGTTCCACACATCAAAGAATCAGATCGTGGAAAAATCAGCCTATTAAAACTTTTAGAGAAAGATAGAGCTATTCCATTGGCATTCCGTTCCTGGGACTTATATGAATATCCATTGCTACCCAAAATACGTAAACGTACTTGGTCTATAAAAACTTCATCGCAAATAGAGAAACTACGCTTTGTGGTCATTGTCTTGCAAACCAACCGCAAAGGTAACGCGAAATTATCAATGGCAGAGTTTGATCATTGTCACGTACGAGATGTAAGAGTCTTTTTAAATTCATCATATTATCCTTATGAGGGGCTGAATATCAGTTTTTCAGAAGATAAGTTTACTTACTACACATCGCGGCAGAACTCCCGATACCATCCACACCATCTGGATGATTGGCGGTCCACCACTGTGCGATTTAGAAGATGTTTTCTTCCTCGCACAACTTCCTTGTGGAATAGTTTACCACCAGGGATTTTTCCGGACCGATACGACTTAGGGACCTTCAAGAAAAGAGCCTACTCCTTTTTAAAAGGCCGGCAACGCATCTGCAATTCCCCTGGTGTTGCGGTTGTTCATAGGCGGCGGTAGTCACTTACCATCAGGTGAGCCGCATGCTCGTTTGCCCCCTCTCCTATAAAAAAAAAAAAAAAAAAAAAAAAAAAAAAAAAAAAACTTTATTATACGATCAGTATGCGAGATTTCAACAGTCGTATCATGGACGCCGGTCAGAGCCGTTGATGGAATTAAAGGAGTTCAGAGACGTGGCTCCATTATTTGTAATTGATTGTTCAAGACAACACGAAACTTTAAAAGGTTCGATCGATGTGAGAGTTGAAATCGAAACAGACCAAGAAATACCAGAACAAACAACCACTTATTGCTTGATATTAAACGACTCTATATTCGAATACAAACCACTGAGTAATATCGTTAAGAAAATATCATGAATAGCAATACAATAATCGCCGATCTTCAAGGCTTCAAAAATAGCAAAAATAATTTATAGAAAAGGAGTTTGCTATAGTCACTCTAGAGTAGACTAATATATTCCTAATTAAACCTCCTTACCCATTCACTTCACTATCTCCAGAAGAGAAAAAACAAATTGGCTGGATTGAAAAGCACCGAGGGTATCGATGGAGTGAGGGCTTTATTGATTATAGAGAGTTTCACAGAATTATAAAGACATATTTGAAAGATAAAAAGATTTTTTTAAAGGGATGTGAAAAAATTAAATGGGTGCAAGATATTTGTGATGAAAATAATACTATCATAGATATAAGTTGCTTAGGAGCTCCCAATTTAAATACTCTTTGTGAACTTTATTGTAAAGATACTGTATAACTGTTTTACTCATAAGAAAATATGTGCGTTAAAAATGTTTTATGTATTAAGAAATGGTGTTTTGAAAACAAAATGATTGTTTGATTTCTAATAAAATATATGTAAATAAACACTTCATCTTTTAATTTAAACTACCTTTGTGTTCGAGAAGAAGAAAAAAAATAGTTTCAGACCGTTAACGATTAGTACTTATTATTAAAGTAACTGTTTTTTGTACCACCTTACATTTTTAACGATGAAATAGATTAGCCTTCATATTTTGTTGTTATATTATTGAACCATTTGTGTTTGAGATTCCGAATGAAACGGTATTATAAATGGAGCAAAGATAAAAAAAACGGATCGAGAATTAGACTAAAATTTAGACCTCTAATGGAGAGAATCGGGGCCTTCTGCGACATGTAGCTCGAGCGAAGCGAGTGCAAGTGATGCAGAAGCCCCAATTCATACCTACTCCTGTGTAAAAGTGACTACATTCACATTCAAGTTTATACATTCCTGTATCTTGAAGATGGAAATTAAATAAGTAAAATGCTCGAAATATTACGAAATTAAACGCGATAAAATTCATAAAATGAGTTTGTCTCCAAAGAAGATTTTTAAACTCACATATTATTTAAAATCAATAACTATCCTTACACTTATTGTTCTATCAATAATAAATTTCAAGACCACAACATAATTTCGTTTCCCTTATGCCTGTTCTCGAAGTAAAACATGGGTGCATTTTTATAGCGTAAGTATCTGAAAAGGTTAAAAAATATTTTTAACCTCGGTAGCGCAGTGGCAAAGCATTTGGCTGCACAAAGTCACTACTTTTTGTAATTATTCCAGATCTCGATTTTAGTTAATTAACGTATGTTAAAATTGCTTGCAGAAGGCAGTGCAATAAAAAGTAAAAAAGAGTAATGAAAAGATAAAAAAAAATTATATAATATAATAATATTTTCGGAATTATACTGGGATTTCACACCCTTAAAACCAAAAAATTGAAGTGGATGCACCATTACTTAGCGAATATTAGAAGTTTTTTTGTTATATATATAATAACAGTACTCGTGAAGTAGCTTAACATTTGGTAAATGCCGCAAAATATTTTTGTATCTATTGAAAGAAAAAGCTTGAATTCAACGCAGGATTTTCCAATACTGCCTCGGTCCATTCGACCCAATAACCATAATTGATGTAGACAGGTGCTGAGTAGGTGTTTCATTCGATAATACGATTTCTCTTATTTCCAAATATAATTAAGGGAGTTAGGTGTACTTTACGGAAATCATTTATAAATCGGATCGGAAAGGATTTCATTCGGTGTATTTATATAAATTTCTATACAAAAATCAAGTCGTTCCTAGCTAGTATTTAAAGACAGTGATCCAACTGTTATGTTTTCTATTCTATACTATCTGATTGTACCACTCCAGATTCGCTTACAAACTCAAACTTCGTATTTTCTGGTAAAAATATATACATAATAATAAACAGGCGTTACTTTGCGAAAATTCATTATCATAGAAATATAAAAACAATAAAAGTGGCAAGGGGTATGCCTGTATCCGCGCACTATAATGAAAATGCTCAAGTTTTATTCAAATGGCCGCCTCCGCGAAGTAGTGTGCTTTCGACCGGAATCGTGATACATTATCAGAATGCCGTGTTGTCCAGTGGTTTATTGTATAAACCTAAACCACAAAACAAAAACTATGTAAATCATGGAATCACTATTTGTAAGTACAAGTATTCTACTATATTTATTTATTTCTTAAAATCATGAAAAACAACAAATCGTAAAATATTTCCTGCTCTTAATACGTTATTTTTGTTTTCAAATATTACAGCGACTATACTATTTTGTAGGAAATACATTTCTCCTTAACCACTACCTTTTCTACGTGGTAGAGCCATGCTACAGCTATATTAGTAGTATAGTTGTAGCACGAATTGGTCGGCTCGACCGGGGAAGGACCACGCTGTCACAGTACGCTGGTAGCGTAAAATAGCAGCTTAACACTCCTGTGTTTCGTATGGTGAATGTAGAGAACCGGATATTCTTTTAACTGAAAAAGGGGCATTCTATTTTAGTCCTCATGGCTGACAACGCATCTGCATTTTGGTTCAGAAATGAGGATAGATGTAGATGTCTATGGGCCACATCAACCACTTACCATAAGGTGGACTGTGTGCTCGCTTGTCCCCCTTTCATATAAAAAAAACTATTTATGTATGTCGCTAAGTGACTAAACAAGCAATGTAAATATCACAAAACGATACTTTATTTATAGGGATGCATCGCGTAGTACGGCCACTGTATCTTGCGATGAGTTAGTGATGTGCTTGCAGATACACTAACGTATGCTATCGACAACAATGTCGATTGGCGAATCGCTATTAGGGCGCGTTCCCACGACACGCACACGCTACGCGCACGCCACGCGCGTCCGCATCCGCGTCTAACTCGCTTTGAAATTTGTTGCATATAATTTGAGTTTTATGACAAATCAATAAATCTGAAATTGTATAAAAAGCGCGTGTGCGGGGTGAGCGCGGGAACAGCGTGAAGCGGGAACGCGTTCCGGGCGCGTGGCGTGGGCGAGGCGTGTGTGGTTGAACGTCAATAAATGCAATTTCAGATTTATTGATTTATCATAAGACTCAAATTATATGCAACAAATTTCAAAGCGAGTTAGACGCGGGTGCTGACGTGCGTGGCGTGCGCGTAGCTGGTGCGTGTCGTCGAAACGTGCCCTTATAGTTTATTCTTCAATTTGTGAACCGTTTCAACTCGGTGGGAAGACTAACGTGACATAATGGTATTTACTTACTTTGATTATTTTCAGCATCTACTACACTGAATGTCTAACCAGCGGTCGTAAAGTAAGTTGCTTTTTTTGGTTAATATTCGGTGGAGTATTTTGGAATTGAATTATCGTATATTATGCCTTATCTTTGAGCTAATTCCATTATAATAATTAATTGGCATGGTTTACAATTCAGATAATATTATAATAGTGACTTTCGCTAAAAATAAGTCAACAACAACAGTTCTTGCTATTTATTTGTTATGAATGAATGTTTGTTTGTTTTCATATATTGGACAATATCTTGACTAACCAGGGCATTTTATACTGCTTTAAGCTTGCCAAGCAAAACGTTCTTAGTTCATAGTGGAGCTTAGAACATAAAAAAAACATAAACACTCACGACTCCAAGAGGGGTAGGCAGAAACTATGGACATACATTTGGCAAGATCATGACACACCTCTCTCGCTTCCTCCACATCCATATTCCTACGCACACACGCTCGACGGTTAAAGGCACTCTGGATTTGGCCAATTTTCAATATATCACCAATTTGGTCGATAAACTTTCGCCTAAGGCGTCTCTTCCCGACTATGCCGTTCACCTCTGCAACATAAATTTGCTTTGTCACTCTTTTCTCATTCATTATTTCCACATGTGGAAACCAAACCACCGAAGCATTCCTTTCTTAATCCTGGTCACAACATCATCTTGAAAACCACACTCTTCTATTATCAAACAATTTCTCACTCTTTCATTCAGATTCATCCCTAACATACTCCTTAATGACCGCATTTCTACAGCATTTATTCTACTCTCGTGGTTCTTCTACCACATCCAACTTTCACTACCATACATTAAAGTAGGGACTAACACAGCATTGTGAATTGACATAAGTGCCTTTTTTGACACATTCTGACTTCTCACAATAGGGTGAAGAGCCCCATTCACTTCAATTCCTGCGTTCACTCGTCGTTCTATATCCTTATCATATCTACCATCCCTGCTAAATACACATCCCAAATACACAAACTAATCTACTTGCTCGACCAACTACCCTTCTATTCTTATTTAACATATCGTTTATATCGTTTGTATTTATGTAGAGGGCTATGCTTGGGGTTTTTCTGCGTGATAAGCTTAGAAATGAGGATATCCGCAGTAGAACCAGAGTATCGGTAGCCCAATGGATTAGTAAGCTGAAGTGGCAGTGAGCCGGCCATATAGCTCGAAGAACCGACAACCGATAGGGGAAAGGTTCTCTCGAGTGGCAGCAGGCGTACCGGTAGGCGAAGTGTAGGCCACCCCCCACTAGATGGAGTGACGATCTGGTAAGACATGCAGGAAATCGATGGATGCAGGTGGCTCAGGACCGTGCTTTGTGGTATTCCTTGGGGGAGGCCTATGTTCAGCAGTGGACTTATTAAAGGCTGTAATGATAATGATGATGATGATATTGTTTTACTTTCTTCTCTTTCAAGAACCATTTCGTCTTACTTGCGTTCACTTTCATTCCCTTTTCTTTTAATGTCCTGTTAATTAATGTAACCATCATTTGCAATTTGGCCACCGCCGACGCAAGTATGACTTGATCATCGGCGTACGAAAGGCATTTGATGGTTAACTCACCCATTCTTAACCCGCATTCATCTACTTTCAAATTTTCCAAACAACTGTCCATAAATAGGTTGAACAGCCACGAGGAACCCACACAGCCCTGACTGATACCTTTATGGATGGCAAACCAGTCCGAGTAAGCACCATTGATCCTGTGACACAAGCACTATCCAGAGACTTCAATGCC